AAGTCGGACACTTAACCGACTGAGCCACCCAGGGGCTCCAACATTTGCCATTTTTTAATTGAGTTGTTTGTGTTTTTGTTGTTGAATTACAGGAGTTTTTAATATATTTCATAGATTTCTGGCTACTAGACCCTTATTACATACATGATTTGCAAATATTTTTTTCCATTCTGTGGATTGCCTTTTCACTGTGTTGTTCATGTCCTTTGATACACATGAGTTTTAAATTTCATAATCCCATTTGTCTCTTTTTAGTTTTGTTGTCAGTGCTTTTGGTGTCCTAGTCAAGAAATCACAGCTAATTAACTTGAAAATTTAAAATTGTGAGTGACATTTCTGTGCATGCCCCTTGCCTATTTTTTTTATTGGGTTGTTGATCTCCTTTTTTATTGATTTGTGAGAGCTCTCTGAATATTAAGGAAATTAGTCTTTTGTCACATAAAGTACACATACTTTTTTCGTGTTTTGTTGTTTGTCCTTTGACTTTGTTTTTGGCCTTTCTCTGCCCTTTTTCCAGAAAAGCCGTTATGAGACCTATATCCACCTCTTGGCTGTGAAAATCAAAGTGGGCTCAGATGACCTGGAGCGGATTGAGGCCCGGCTGGCCACCTTGGAAGGGGATGACCCTTCTCTCCGCAAGACACACTCAAGCCCGGCCCTCAGTCAGGGCCACGGGACTGTGACTGGCAGCAAAGCCATGAAGGATACCGCCGGGCCTGATACTTAGCTGGCATGGATGGGCGAGCCCCAGAGGCAGGCAGATGTCCCCAGAGGGGTCAGTGAGCACAATTCCAGCTGGGGGCCGCTTGCACCAGCTCCAGGCAGTTGACAGGCAGCCAGAGGGGTGCAGAGAGCCCTGTGGGCCAAGGAGATGGAGATGCTTACTCATGGCGTTGATCTTGCATCTTGGGGTTTTTCCGGGCCTCAGACCTTCTCCCCAGCCCTCATATTCCTCTCCACCACGGAGCCTCATTTCGTAGGCCAGTTGTATGCATGTTCTAGACACCATCTCACTGGGAAAGGAGGACTGGCCGCTGGCTTCCCGGGCCCTCCCCTCCTCACAAGTTCCTCCCCTCATCTCCCTTATTTCCAAGGGCAGGACTTGACTCCAGGTCTCAGCTTGGATCCTCGGCTGTTCCCCTCCTCCTTCTTCAGACTTGACCAGCAGCGGGTCTGCAGACCACCAGCACCATCCTCTCCTCCCTCCACCTTGTACCTTTTGGAACCATGCCCTGTTCTCCTATCTCCCTTTGCAATAATCCAGGACCCGGGCCTGTTCCCTCGATGCCAAGTCGTCTCCACTCGTGTGTGCGCCCACCTCACCTTCCATTTATGGAGGCCACTACTGCTTTCTTTTATATGGACAAAAATGTATATATATATAAGAATTATATATAAAGAAAAATATACGAATACATATATATATATATATATGGAATCCCTTTAAAGATGATTTTGGAACTGATATCAGGATGAAATATGATGAAGGAAAAGCCTATTTCAGCACTCCACCTGTTAGCAAGGAAGGCTGCTGGGCTGCTATCTAGTCCCTTGGTGGCCCTGACACTCTGGGAGGGAAGGTGGAGGCGGCGCTGAACCCCTCTCACTGCTTTTCCCCTCTTCCGGCTGACCTGTGACTTACTCTGCTCTTACAGTTGATGCTTTGGAATAAGTAGACAGTGTGTGTATATGCCACCCCATCTGTCCCACAGGCATTGCAGGGTGTGAGTGGGATGGACCATGGCCCTGTTTATATTTTGGTCTTTATGTTGGTGCTGCCAGGTCTCTGAGCTACAGAGGTGGCCTCTTGTACAGATCTACTGCTACAGGAATAAAAGACACTCTGCCTTGCCAACAGCCACTTGTCAACAAGCCCAAAGATGTTTGTGGGGGTAGGGGGGGAGACGTTATGGAAGCCAGTAATTTCTGGTCTTGAAAAAAAAAGGGAATAAGAAGTGGCTGATTGTTCTTTAAGTTGATACTTCTTTCACTCTTCTAGTGACTCACAAAGGCTAGCTAAGGACATGCTTGGGAAGGGTAGACAAATCTGCCCTGCGATGATCACAGACTAGCATCCTGTAAACCCTGCATTCCTCAGACTGACAAGTGGTGGGGGCGATGGGACCCTCAGTGTAGCTATGATGAGCAAATCCTTTATATTTTTAAAATAGATTAGTCTGGGCAGCACTCTGACCTCAGTGGTAACATATTTAGTTAGTTGCAAGGTTGGCTTATCTATTAAGTACCTAACATTTACAAGCACGCTCCCATTTGATGCAAGGGACGTAGAAGTCTGTGAAAATAGGTAGTGATTTAAATCCAGGTTATTTAATTTGGATCAGCTGAAGTGTATTTTACAGCCAAACCATCTGGCCCCTTCATTTTGCTGAGGGGAAGTAAATGTTCATTTAAGTGAAATTGAAAGAGCAATGTAATGTAAAAGAGCTCTCTGTACTATCTCCAGGCTGGCTCAAAGGTCTCTGATTTTTGGGGTCAGTTTCCCACCCTCCACCTCACGAGGGCGGGTGAATGAAAGCAGAGGAGCGGGCTTCTGTCTGCTGCAGACAGATCTGCTTCCCTGAGCACTAGTGATGTCTCCCATCAGTAAAAAAAATCTTTAGTTCACTTTCTTAATTGTATAATTATTTATTGTAAATTATATACATGTACTACTGTACTAAAATATTATGTACATTATAAAACATACACAAAAATAGAAATTTAAAAAGATGAGATGAAAATAAATCTAAATCAGAGTTCTAATATTCTTTTCCTGCATTCTAATGGACCATCACATTCCCCCACAACCTCTGCCCCTAATATGCCCATTTTCCAGGACTGTCCAAACCCAGAGGATGGAGGACCACAGGCAAGATGCAGTAAGTGGTTTGCGCCACCGGGCGGTCCCTGCAGACTCAGGGACTTCTGGGGACTGACTCTGGATCACGGCGTTTCTTTGAGCCTTCATTTTCTCATTCGGTGAAGGTCAACAGTGCCGCACACTGTGCTAGGTGCTGAGGATACTGTGGTGAGCAGAGGACTGAGCAGCTCCCTGTCCACCTGGGGCTCACAGTCTAGTGGGGAGGGGGACAGGATGTCACCATTACCATTTGGGAGCCTGGGAACGCTGGCGAGAAAACCAAAACTGACCTGGCAGAGAGAAGAAGACAGATTGGAGGAGTGGGGAAGACCACCAACTCAGGAAGTCTCCAGAATGTCCTAAGTGCTTGTGGGGGACAGGGTGGTAGTAGGGAAGCTGCTCGACAGGGCTATACCTCTTCCTGATGGGCCACTAAAGATGCCCTAAGGCATCAATTTGGGGGGCACAAGGGAAAAAGAGCCTCTCTGGCCACACGGGTTCCCAGGTCCCATTCACGCTTGGGAAATGAATGGGTGACGGATTAGGTTCTGGCCTTAGACTCTCAGTAGGTATTTTAGAATCCAGAGCAGCTAACAACGCTACCAAATCACTTGATACAATTATTTGGGGTCATGAGAAGTCCAATGGGTTCACCGAGAGGTCACTCACAATTACTGGGGTTCACAAAGAGGTCAGTGGGTTCACTGAAGTCACAGAGGTGGTTTCTGACTGAAAATTTAGAAGGTAACCGCAACTCCGAGCCCTCAGAAGGGTCATATTGACACTGAGGGCTCCGGAAAAGGCCAATAGGTTCACCAAGAGGTCATTCACGACCATTGGGGTTCACATAGAGGTCAGAAATCACATAGAGGAATTATTGGCTGTTAGAAAAGCTTAAAGCCAACAGCAAACTCAGAGCCAGCAAAGGGATTTGGATGAGATCATAAGATGGGCCCTGGGAGAGGTGATTTGCAGGTTTATGTACGATTCAGTTCTTTATTTTCCTTTGTTTTTTTTATAACAGGTACTTATCCCCCCCCAGCCCCCCACAATGAACACCGTAACTTTAGTCCTTTCTTTACTTTTCCCCATCACGTCCCTTCACCCAGTTTTTGCCACTCTGCGTGATTCAAGAATGCAAGGCACAGGATACCATCATCATCATCAAATTAGCCACTAATAAGCATCATATGCCAGAAGCAATACTGGGTGCTTTATAGATAATCTCCACAGTAACCCTTTGAGGTAGGTATCGGCATCACCCTTTAACAGCTGAGGAAACAGTGGCCTAGAGAAGTCACATAGCCCGTGAGGGGCGGAGCTAGAATTTGAACTGCGCCCCTCTCAGCCTTAATGAAGCCTCTCTGTCCCTCCCATTGGTAGGTCTTCAAAGCGACCACACACATTCTGGGGGCGATCGTGCATGTGTGCACACACGTCAACCACCTGAGCTCTTTGGATAGACGGCTTCCTTGTGTCCGGCTGGAACATAAGGGATCCTGGCACTGGTTTAATAAATTAATCAATGAGGGAAAAGGCTTATGCACCCTGGACCGCCATCTACCTTCTCCATGCCTTCCTCAGGGACTGCAGGTTTAAACAGGCCCTGGCTCTGAGGGGCTATAAAGTTGGGAAAAGCACAACACCCTGTGGGCTTACAAGCTGCAGCAGCTGTGGTCTTCCTGGCAGCCAAGGGTACCCATTATGCCACCTTGCATGTCCAGGCTTTGCCTGTGACATGCTTGAGGCCCCAAGGGTCATCTTGCCTCAGCTGCCCCAGTGCCAATCCCACAACCCTTGCCTCCTCACCCACATAGGCCCGGAAATTGTTGCCTCAGTCCAGCCCCAGGAGCTCCAGGGTAGGAAGTGGGCCAGAGGTCTGAGGCTGAGCTCAAAGCAGAGTAATCTGCATCAGCCCCTTGGCCAGGTTCCCCAGAAGCCAGGGGGGATACCCGGTGAATAATCTTGGAGGAGGGAGGAGGGTTGGAGCCTGTCCTGGGAGCTGAAGCCAGGGAGATTAGAGGGACAGTCTCTTCCTCCCAGGGACTAGCCTGGCCCTCTCCAATCTCCACCCCAACATCCATCCATCTCCACCCAGGTCCTCATTCTCACCTGGGGGCTAGGCACACACAGTCAAACATGAGTTATTTCTGATTTTATTTATAATATAAAAATGTTCAAGTGTCAACAGTCAGGTGTTTGGACATTTCAGGGCAGGGTTCTCATTTGTTTGTTTGTTTGTTTAAACAATTACCTTTTGACAAATTAGCAGTGGACCCAGTTTTGCGGGGTGGGGAGGGAGTGGAATTCGTAGGTGGCTTGGGGTCTGGAAGGAAATGGTGTTACTTTATTGCTAAAAGGGGAATCAAATACACTGTGGAGTGGCTCTTCTCGGTCCCAGCGTGACCATGCATCCAATCTAAAGAATCTGAAATGCAAAGGACATGCAGGCATAAAATAGAAAAGACAACCTGTAAACGAAGGTGCTGCAGAGGACGGAAGGGCATCCTGGAGGCCACAGGGGAGGAGGAGCTGGAACTTTGGGGCCCTGGCAGAGCTGCCCCCTCCCTGGGGCCGGTGCTGTTGGGAAGACCTCTTAGTGCCCCCTCCCTTAGCAGCTATGAGGAGCAGGGTGGCCCCCTCCCCATTCTGGTTGCTGTCGCTGGGCCTCAAGTCTCCCCCCCCAAAAGTTACCTGACCCCAACTCTAGCTCCAAGCCTAGGATCCCCACCTTCTCCTCAGGGTGTCAGGGGCCTGAAGATCTTGCCTGAGGGCAAAGCTACTCCTGTCCTCATTTCCTTCTTCAGGGCGGATCCCCTCCCAGCCCCCACCCTTGCCCCCACTAGCACCCAGCAGTCTTTTCTTTGCCGGCTTCCTCTCACCCCTGCCAGCTGGGGATCCTACAGTCCCCTCAGCCCCACCCCACCCCACAACCCAGACTTCTCTCCAGGAGCTCCAGATTAGCGTACAGCAAAAGGCACCACAATATAGGTTTCTATTAAAGAGTCAAAAAATTGGCCCATCTCTCTTTTTTTTTGTTGTTTCTTTTTTTTTTTTCCGAAGCTGTAAATCAGGATGTTACATATAAATAGTTTCCCTATAAAAACGTCTTTGCCGTTAGCTAGTATTATAAGACAATTTTTGCTAAAATGAAAATAAAACATTTTGTTATACCTTTTTCCTTTTATAGAAAATAAAAATATTTTTATTTCTTTTTTTCCTCCTTTCTCTCTCCAGGCGGTGGTCTCTGTTCTCCGTAAAGACAGTGGGGCAGGCGAGGCGGAGGGGGGCGGCGGGGCGGCGGGGGCCCCTAGAGGGGCGCCGAGTCCTGCTTGCCCCGCGGGGGGGGGCCCGCGGCTGTGTCTGCTGCTGGCCCGCGTGCTGTGGCTGTCCAGGGAGTAGTAAGTCCTGCTGTCGGCCGCCGGGCACAGCGGCGGCGAGTCCGAGCGCAGCGCATCGTGCGCCGCGCGCAGGCCGAGGAAAGGCGTACTCTCGGCCGCCAGCGCACCGTCCGCGTCGTCGTCCGAGCCTGAGGCCGAGCCGCCACCCGAGCCGCTGCTCAGCGACAGCGAGTCCCGCGCCGCGCGTGCGCGCTGCGCCGCCAGCCCGTTGAGGCGCGAGCGGCGCCAGCG